TGCGCAAAAGCAAGCGTACAAAAAAGCATTTGCCTGATTTTTTCTCCGAAATTCTGGCGAATATTTTTTTTTTGCTTCAATTTCCCGAGGCTTTGAATGAATCAAATTCAAATTGAATCGATTCAGCCCAAACCAATTTTATCATTTTATGCCTCCTAAATTTCTTTGAATTTTCAGCTGAAAATGTTGCAGCTCCTGCTCCCCATATATACCGTCAAAAGAAACTCTTTCCATAAATTCTAGAACACTAACTGAATCCAATATTTTTACCGCACTTTATTTCATTACTCATGACACTCATTTAATTCATAGTAAACGAGCCATAAATAGTATAATTTCCCTAAAATGCCAAATTAAGACTTGTTCTGTAAAACTAATGCAGACAGATTTGTCTATAAATTCTGTAATTCACGCGAGGCAACATATCGACATTGCTAAGGAAGCAATGGAATTCCGCGTCACTGTGACACCTGTGACCGGAAATTGACGTTGTAACGTGATGACCCATCGACGTGATGACCCGTCCCCGGGGATATACGAGTCCGAGTCGCATGACGTCAATATAAGAACCTGAATCTTCTTGCCAACAATAAATAAATAAGTCCGAGGTATAAACGCATATCCATTGTGAAGGATTTGCGCAGTGTTCAACGCAAAATTCAAAACACTAGATAACTTTTAAAATTTCAAGGTCATCATAATACTCTTTTTACAAATTCAACACGAATCAGGTCTCCTGCAGCCATACAGAGTATGTGTGTGTGTGTGTGTTTTTCAAGTCTCAATGTGAAGTATTTTTCATCAAAATTAATGTTTGTCCCCAATATCACAGCAGCATTTTTGAAGCGAAATTCTGCTGAAGGAGAAAATGTGTGGCTCTGAAAGTCTCAGAGCTGTGTAACTTATTGAACAAGGACTTATGAGCACAGATGAGTCTCCATCATGAAATGCATGTGACCCAACAAATATATATAAAGCGAGAAATCATCTTATTTATTGTCTGCGAACTTATTGGAGCCGTCGCGGGAAAACTTCCAAGACCATATTCGGTGCCAAATGAATTTCATCTAAGTCTACTCTATGTGCAATTAATATTCTAACCTCAGCCACCGTAATAATCTGAGCAAACTACTGTATATTCGTAATTCCGGTGAGGGTTAATGGAAAGAAGCTTTTGCGGTGCATGGGTATGAAAGGTACTTGAAGTACTGTATATCAGTACAGTGAGACTCCACTATGTGGACACCCTGACATCTGGAAAATTGGACTTAGAGAAACTTGAAAACAAAAAACAAAAAATCAGGCCCAACATCAAGGCATTGGCTCCAGTTAGGGGCACTTTTCTGGAATAAAAAGCTAATAAAAAGCTAATAATGCCCAAGGGATTTTTATTCCTTTTCTTTCTCATGGTTGGAGTCATCAGATGAATGAGAGGAACCCTATATCCTGTAAATGGGTGTAACGAAATCAGCTCACGTTCCATCGGCTGCCTGCACAACGACCGCCCAAGGATTGTATGTAACATGTGTAGGATGGCGGCAAACTGCAACAGCTGCAGAAGCCTGCATACATGGGACAGATCCCTGCCCTTTCAACAGGACACAGAGTCAGAAACAACTAGAGGAATAATTCTTTGTACAAATACGCATATTATTGCCATCAATAAAGGAGCTTTGCTATACAAGTACTGTAACACATGCAACTGTTCTCTGAGAAGATGAAGGCAGAAAAGTGATGGTGTGTAGATACATGGTAATAGGCAGATGCTGTACAATGTTTTTTTCAAGAAAAAATGCATTGAGCCACTGCTCCAAGTGGGGAAAATGGTGCACACTTGGGATATGCATGTATTTCCACACAGTGACCCTGCTGTGCACCTGAGGTGTACCAAAGTTCTTCTTCTGCACATGCATATCCCTAATGTGCACCAATTGTGTGTTCACATCAGGATAACTCAGGGTCACATTTGTAACAAAGAAGTTACACCAAGGTTACAGTTGGTGCATTTGCGTGATACTCCTGTTATGTCACATTTGTGCACCAAATGTAGCCCTGGGATGGTAGCAAAATTTCATCTACAGAGGTGCATGCTTGTAACCCTACAATAACCCATGTACACCAGTTTTTTTCTCCAGTGTGCACCAGTTGTGGGGTCACACAAAGAATAGCTCCCCACTTGGGTGTTATAATGGTAAAATTATAGAAATATGCATGAGTCTTTTTAAAAAATCAATGAAAAAGAAATTATTTTCTTTTTCATGAAAAATAAATTTGATAATACAGTGGAATTGAATTTAATTGGACAGTAAGCTTTATTTTCTGCTTTTAAGTTTTCACAAAGCTCAAGCAATGTTCCCAAATCCAAACCCCCTCCCCACCCACATTCACCCAAAAACATTCTTCACATCAGAATGGTAAACAGAGAAACAAGCTGTACATGGATATTGAAAGAAAAGAAAATAATCTCAAGAAGTGCAACCACTCAAACTGATATAAATACATACACTTTCTTCCCTTTGATCAAAAAAATATCAATAATAAGAATTGCGGCATGGAGCAATTACTAAACCCAAATTAAAGCCCATGGTTTTCAACCTGCTCCCAGATAAGGTTTAGTTGATTAAAATATTTGGGGAAAACCTTTGATGGTAAATCATATAAGGTTAGCAGATTATATTTATTCTCTAAGATTTTGGAAAGAGTCTTTACATTGAATTTTGAGAGTCCCAAGTCTTTTTGAAGCTCATTTCTGTTGCTGTGGAATGCTGGGCATAAGAAAATAAGGTGCTCTGCTGGTGATGCATCAACCAATTTATTTATACTGTTGAACCTTGACAACTGGAACCTCAGTATCACCTCCCCAAGTAGAATGCCCTCTTTGTGTCAATGTTTTGCTAGTCCCTCTCTCAATTCTCCCATAGAAACAATTAAAACCACCATAATTTGAAAGCTTTCCTCATGCCTTCATGACTCACATTTTGGGGGCCTATTTTACCTGTTATTTTATTGACACAGGAAAGAGAAAGCAATAAAAATTTCACAATATGTTTTTAAATGAAATTATGAAAGACTTGATTATTAGGCAAATAAACCTTTGCCTCCAAGTTCAGCATCCTGTCAACTCATTAAAAATATTAAAAATCAATGCAAGGCCTAGAATATCATTGATTACAATAGATACATATAGATATTGAAGGATGAACAAGAAAAAAAGGATTGACAGAACAAGGTGTTTCTTATGATTCAGCAAATGTGTGAATAAATTAATAAATCAATTCTGACTCTTTTTTCCAAGAAACCTTCTTTACTTCTCATTTTTATATTTGCTGCATTCTTTACAGTTTTACCTGCCATAGAAAGATTTCAAGAAACAAAGAATGTGGCACTTTAAGCCTGCATTGGAGACTCCTGCTGGTCTCATCTCATTAAAATAGTGATTATAATGAGAACTGGCTGCGATTTCCAAACAACTTATGAAGAGGTTCAACTGTGTACATATATGCTTCCCACGCCCAGAAAGTAATTAAACAGGGAACCATTGTTCTTATAAATGCTGTTTCCAAATGGTTTTAACTGATTCTCTTATTCAATTTGGAAGACACGCGCCGCGCTGTTCTGAATGGCGCTATTATGGTACCCTCTCAATTGTATCAGCACCCTCATGCAGAAAGCAGCAGCGGCACCAGAAGTGCAACCCACACACAAGTATAGACACGATCCACAAAATACTTCAGCCACGCGCACTTCGTCCGGATAATTCGGATTACTGCGGCCCCCACGGAAGCATCGTACCTATACAGAAAGCAAATCCGGGAGAAAGCCTCATTTCCCGCGAAATAAACGTATCCCGACCATAACTTATTCAATAACACTTTACTGTATATACTGTGCATTCGGAAACATCCGAGAAATTCGTCCTTTAAACTATATGCGTGAAAATCCCGCGTATAGAAATTCAACTTGGAATATATACACCGATTTTCACTCGTTTAGTGTTTATACGGCAGACAAGCGAATTTTAAAATCCAACGATTCTCACTCCGCAAAATTATTTTCAATCATGGAAAATTCTCCTGGTATTACAATATGTGATGTATATACACCGATTTTCACTCGTTTAGTGTTTATACGGCAGACAAGCGAATTTAAAAATCCAACGATTCTCACTCCGCAAAATTATTTTCAATCATGGAAAATTCTCCTGGTATTACAATATGTGATGCGCAGCTCAAAATTCAAGCCGATGTGTATTGTTTCACTCAGATCTGTCCATACGTAACACAACGGTTACATCTTTTATGTAGGTCATACGCCAAAATTTCTAGCACATGAACAAAGAATTCCATCAATAAAGTCTGAGACTCGAATACAGTTCAGTGAGTCCCCGCTTAACGTAAATCTCACGCAATAACAAAATTTGCGTAACATTTTTCAATAAGGGAAAGTGAATCTCTGCAACAAAATGCGAAGGCACCACGAAAAATTTAGAGTTTTATTGTATAGAAAAGCGAGAAGACTATAATGGGACTGAAAAATAATTCATTTTACACAGAAAATATGTAGAAATATCATTGGGGTGAGTCCACCGCCTACATGCTGGTATTTCCCAAAAAAATGCTCTAGTTCAAACAATTCTTCACCTATGAATTTAAAACAATTTTAAAAATTGAAGAAAATAAGGAAATTATAATTTTGCCTTCTCTCGTCCAAGAATAAATGGAATTCAAGAAGGGCAGCGCACAAATTCGTCAGTTCAACTTAAATGTCAATTAAATAAATGCTTAATACACAATTTCACGCAACAAAAATAAAACCAGAAGTGAGAGGTTTTCAATTGTTAATCATGGCCTTGAGCTGCGTGTCTAGAAAAAATTAAATAACTCACAATGCAACCTCAGGGGAAATCGCGTTTTGAATTACTAAGCACGCCCAGGGACGTCTCAGTTTCATTATACGCGGACCCAGCGTACTGCCTTTTGTACTAACAAATGTAAATGGAATTTCAAATGATTCCTTCCATGTTTTATTTCTTCCCGAGAAAAACAAAGACGCGCAAACCGAATTCTCATTTCTCAACGCAAACGACCTCTCCGACAAACGACAGCACGAAATTGAAGAAAATCGCCCAACACGCGCGCGCGATGAGAGTTCAGTAGTTCGATCCTGTTTAATTTTCCCTATATAACGACGCAATATGTACACTCGATTACTGCGGACAAACATTTATCAGAAACTCGCTTTAGGAGCTCGTATATAGGCGAGGGAAACACGAGCTGGCCAAGGAAGGGAAACATAAAAAAAGGAAATCGAGTAATCCAGCGAAACACGAGTCGCGTCCGGAAACTAAACGAGTCGCTTCAGTGTTGTTGATTCAGGGTGACCAACGTACAAAACTTAAAAACCTCTCAAGACAGGGTAGAAAACACAACCCTCGCACAAAATCAAATATCCATCCACAACTTTTTCGTAAAAGTTTCAACAGAATTAATCTGAATATATACGCATTTCAGGGAACCGTATACAGTCAGAATTTCCATACAGGCTTCCTCAAAGTTTCAAAAATAATAACACGAAGCAATTTTCACATATACAGTAATTGAAAACTAAAATTAACTCCTATTTCGAATCACTGAGCTGAGGTATTACAGGAAAAACGGAGGAATTTCACAGCAGAAACCTTGCAGACGAACCAAATGAAATCGTTCGTCTCGGTGAGTCATTCTATTTGTGTCTAGTGTGTGTGCTTGACTGTTGTGAACTTGAAGTAGTCCGCTGACTAGGCTAGCGACGTTGTTTAGGATGCGTAAACGGCGACTTCTGTGTTGAGCGAAAAAAAATGGGAGTATCATGGATTCAGAAAACGAGTAAAATCGGCACAAAAAGAAATAGTTCTGCATGAGAGATAGCCTTCAAGTTAAAACTGATGAAATTTAAGCCCGAGATTCTCAACATGAACCCATCATGGTGCTTGTTTCTCTTGAAGGACCAACGCCACATTACTGACATCTCCGAGGCGAAAAACGAACTACTTCACAGCCAATGAGCCAACTTATACACTTCATGCCGTATTATTTCTTATTCCGTACTACAACCTAAGGCACGAAATTTTACGAAATAATAGGCACAATACAGTATTATAATTAATCGATGTAAACTTAGCTTTGCATTGAAGTTCGGATGAATGCAAAAGGTTTAATTCTTTTAGACGTAACGTTTCATAAGATTCAAACTTGATTTCTTTGTAAGATAATACCGTTTATTATTCGGTAAAATTAGACTACTTGTTATCAGTAAGGCGGAAGGATCAGAAAAATGAAATTTAGTTCGTTTTCCTCTCTAAAATGTCGCTGGGAATTGAACCCAGTGTGCGGTTCCTCTAATTGAAACTAAATTGCTGTAATCATTGCTTCTGGAATATTTGAGAAGTTAAGGCACTCCTTTTCAACCTCCCTGAGATCAGAAAAGACAAATGAGATTCTGTCCATAATGAAGCAAGAATATCGAATCAAAAGAAAGTTCAGCCCCACAAAAATTCCCTTTCAAAAAATAAGCTCTGGATCTACTATAAAAAAAAACTCCCTGATCTTCTCAAACTGAAAAGAAAAAATATACATCTCTCATGCCTTCCAATCGAAGGCACATTGGCACAAACACAGGCATCAACCCCATTACTCATTCCTCAAATTTGGTCCATTTCCTAATCTCAAGGATTCGTCCACCACGATTTTGAGCGATCATTCCTCAACATTGTTCGCCATCACAGGTGCGTTTATCTCTTCCAGCATCCGAACAATTGATCCTCTGAACGACTCCAAAATTTCCCGGCATTGAATATAGATCTTGGGATGGATTACAGCCTCACGTTAGCACTAACGTGCATCAATCTTTTTTCTCCAACAAACACTACAAGATTTAGCAGCCCACTATATACGANACGAAGCAATTTTCACATATACAGTAATTGAAAACTAAAATTAACTCCTATTTCGAATCACTGAGCTGAGGTATTACAGGAAAAACGGAGGAATTTCACAGCAGAAACCTTGCAGACGAACCAAATGAAATCGAAGCAGAGCCACTCAGTAAGATAAACACAGATCACACACACGAACTGACAACACTTGAACTTCATCAGGCGACTGATCCGATCGCTGCAACAAATCCTACGCATTTGCCGCTGAAGACACAACTCGCGACAAAAAAAAATGGGAGTATCATGGATTCAGAAAACGAGTAAAATCGGCACACAAAGAAATAGTTCTGCATGAGAGATAGCTTTAAAACTGATGAAATTTAAGCCCGAGATTCTTAACACGAACCCATCATGGTGCTCGTTTCTCTTGAAGGACCAGCGCAACATTACTGACATCTGCGAGACGAAAAACGAACTACTTCACAGCCCATGAGCCAACTTACACGTCATGCTGTATTTTTTCTTATTCCGTACTACAACCGAAGGCACGAAATTTTACAAAATATTAGGCACAATACAGTAATATAATTAATCGATGTAAACCTAGCTTCGCATTGAAGTTCGGATGAATGCAAAAGGTTTATTTATTTTAGATTCAACGTTTCATAAGATTCAAGCTTGATTTCTTTGTTAGATAATACCGTTTATTATTCGGTAAAATTAGACTACTTATCAGTAAGGCGGAGGGATCAGAAAAATGAAATTTAGTTCGTTTTCCTCTCTAAAATGTCGCTGGGAATTGAACCCAGTGTGCGGTTCCTTTAATTGAAACTAAATTGCTGTAATCATTGCTTCTGGAATATTTGAGAAGTTAAGGCACTCCTTTTCAACCTCCCTGAGATCAGAAAAGACAAATGAGATTCTGTCGATAATGAAGCGAGAATATCGAATCAAAAGAAAGTTCAGCCCCACAAAAATTCCCTTTCAAAAAATAAGCTCTGGATCTACTATAAAAAAAGCTCCCTGATCTTCTCAAACTGAAAAGAAAAAAATATACATCTCTCATGCCTTCCAATCGAAGGCACATTGGCACATACACAGGCATCAACCCCATTACTCATTCCTCAAATTTGGTCCATTTCCTAATCTCAAGGATTCGTCCACCACGATTTCGAGCGATCATTCCTCAACACTGTTCGCCATCACAGGTGTGTTTATCTCTTACACAGGCATCAACCCCATTACTCATTCCTCAAATTTGGTCCATTTCCTAATCTCAAGGATTCGTCCACCACGATTTTGAGCGATCATTCCTCAACATTGTTCGCCATCACAGGTGCGTTTATCTCTTCCAGCATCCGAACAATTGATCCTCTGAACGACTCCAAAATTTCCCGGCATTGAATATAGATCTTGGGATGGATTACAGCCTCACGTTAGCACTAACGTGCATCAATCTTTTTTCTCCAACAAACACTACAAGATTTAGCAGCCCACTATATACGATATCTTCCATGAACGATTTCTTCCTATCCAACAACGAAATTTTCAAACTGATCACAGCGTTCTGAACGAAACGTCCTTGAGCTTCGTCAACCTATACCACGACTAATTTTCATTAATCTCGGACTGGCGTCTTAACGATGAACACTTAATTTCTTAAAGTACAGTATGACATTTCCCTCGGGCATATATATCTAGATGGCATCCCTGCAAACAAAAACAAACAAAAAGAATGAGAAGCTCGTCGAATAACACTTGGTCAATCCTGTCTCAACAGGACGATGTCCGCAGAAAAAGCGGAGAGACTTGGTCGACCTAACCTCGAGTTTCTTTCTTTTTCTCTGGCACTCATCACCATTAGTCAAAAGAGACTTGATGCTGATGATAGCTGGGTCGACGAGAACGTTTGGCAGTCGGAATCGGCGTGGACTTGGAATGGCGAGTGAGAGGACGGTGGTCGGCCATTTCGCGGCTGGAATGCTGAGCAGCCCAGCAACCCTCGCAGTAGTACTTGAAACAGGTCATCATGCGGCAAAACAACGGGCCTTGCATCATCACACACACCTCGCAATTGTTTTCTTCCAAATACGGGTCCACTTGTATCTGCAATAATTGTTTCCCCGCGTTACAATGTAATTCAGTATACAGTACACGAATTCTAGGGGTAGCACACGATAAAGGGTGTCTTAATTATTAAAAAAATAACTGAATTAGAAAATAGCATATCAGTGTGTTTCAAATAACAAGTTCAATGCACGCAAGGTGTGCATCGAAATCAGTCCTACGTGTATCCGATCCCGAAGGTAGAGAATTGAAGCAGATATAATTCAAACTTGTACTTAGTTACAACCTGGTCCACTCTCGCGCGTTCAATGATCTTCTATCAGTGAGCAATGCTCAGGTGAATACAGGAGGAAATCGAAGAAGAGCGCGAGTGAGTCATACGACGAGGATTTCGATGACTGCTTTCATACACTCAGACAACCAGCGACATCTATGCTAGAACTACTCGTAATTCCCGCATACGAGAGAGGAAAATCCATTTCCCAGTGCAAATTATTCAACATTGATTCAGAGATTAATTGCCCACATCGGAGAAAATCAAAATTATGTATTCCACTCTCACCTAATTGTAAGTAATGTAGCATAATTAAAATTTCCCAGTTACCGAGATTATCGGATAACTTGGCATTTTTAAAAATTATAAGAGGAAACCCTGGAAGATTCGCTGAATGACTTGAATTTTCCCGCATAAATTCGGCGCATCACCCAAAGCAATGGCGATGCGAGGAAACTTCGACGAACCTTTTTCGTGAATTTCGGACACTTGACGATTATGTGAGCGGCTTTGACAGCGTTCAAGAAGGACTCCCGACAATTGAAAGTCACGCGTCCGGATCCTATGGGATACTTGAATCGATCAGAATCGATCCCGGCATAAATCACGCCTCCGAACAAGTCGTTCATAATCGTCGCCAAGGCTTCCGCTGTCAGCATGCCATGCAAAGCTCCAACAAATACAGTGAACTATAAAACGAAGAAAATAGTGGGCGGGGGGGGGGGATCGTACAGGTGGATTTTAAAAAATACAAAAAATAGAAACACCTATTTTCGAGGAATTGGTTCTTTCTTAAACCTACGCACGTACGTCATACTGAAGTCTTGATTTTCCAAATTTCCTCCATTTTATGTAAGTGTCAAATTTACACTTCACTTAATTATTGAATTACATTTTACTTAAATCAGATTTGTTTCATCAGGCAGAGTTAGATTTAGATTCCGGTAAAGATGCGAGTCTGCTGGTACGTTATATTGTTCGTTATGGTCTGATTTTTCACGTTTTTCAAGATCAGAGGAGACACCCCAATACACTCTTCATTGAAAAAAAGGGAATGAGACGGGCATTGTCGACAACATAATGTAGTATACAGCCAAATACTTTGAAAGATCTCCGGCTGAAGTGCAACTCGACACTTGCCACATGAATCGGTAAAGGTGAGATATACAACACTGAATTTGAATGCGGCGATATTAAAAAAAATGATCAGGTTGAACAAAGCGTTTCAAAAACGTCCAACACACAGCTTTACATTCCCGCAAGTCACCAAGGGCAAAATATTCGTACAAACATAATTAAAGCGGCCGAAGAGAGCCTAATTTACAAGGTGATCAGATGGTATTTGATCTACAAATGAATTAAACATTAGACCCAAATCGTAATGATAATGGGCTTCATAGAGAATAGAATAATGCAAAATAATCGTGCGGAATTGTTGAGTCATTCTCTGAATTCCGTTAGGAACAATGCATTAAAAACTCCTCAACACAAAAGCTTTCCACTTCAAACCTCCATGACTCAAACTTTCCAGGGTCTTTTGGATTTCAATGTATTGTATAATTGACGCAAGCATACATTCAATTACGTACCGGTTGGTCGCTTTGCAGCTTATCCTTTTCCATCACGTGATATCCATCGCTCACAAGCCACGGAATAACTTGAACCTGTCAAAAATAATGTAAAAGACAGCTTTCAAGTTGATTAACAATAAATATACTTCCAGACATTGTAATCTAAAAGCTGAATCATCCCCGAGGTTTAATAAAAAAAACCAGTATATAACCTGAATCCGGGAATACATTGTTCGAGCTAGTAGACTAGCTACGAAACCGGGCTTGAAAGGGAAGTTCAAGACATTCAAATTTCCGGGAATTTTCTCCGCGTCTCTCACCTCCTTAGTGCGAGACTTATTGTTGCGCGTCGGGATGCGGTAAAACCAGTTACCGCCCTGCGTGTAGTCGTGCGAACATTCGCTCAAAAGCCGCTTCACTGCATCGTCGCTGTCGAAGATCAGATACACGTATCCCTTCGGGGCTACGGACCCGTTATTATTGTTGTTGCCGTTACCGCTGCTGCGGACAGAGGAGCTGGACGAACCCTGCTGCGCATAAAACCCGCCGCTGTCTGGCGAAACTGGAAGTTGATGCGGAGAACAGGAATAGCCACCGAAGCCTCGATTGCTGCTAACTCGAGCCTCTGAAGAGAAAAACATATTTTTCCGGTAATGATATTAAATATAACGGAAATATTTCTTTTCCTTGTATACGAGAATAAAGTCGACGTTTTTGAATAGTGAATTCTTGTTTCTTCACTGAACGATGCATCAAAATCCTTCATCATAACCGATAAATCCCCCACGAAGTCTCACGTACCTGTTCATCACGTAACTATAATCCTTCTCTTCGAAAAACAATATTACGTTACGTCACAATGGAAAAGCTCTCGAGAAAAGACAAATTCACTTCTGCGTAATAATTACGGGTAATTCCAGTTCACACAATGAGCTCCTGCGACGGAGAAGGTGAAAGCCAAGCTAAGCTTCAATTGTTGCTCGTAATTGATGGAGCATATGAGATCAATAACGCAGGAATTTTAAAGTGACATATCCGGCCATATTAGTTTTCTTTTTGTACAGAAATAAGCTGAAAGAAAGAATTGAAGGACAATGGAAAGCTTACATTAATCTCAATTCAAACGCTTTACTTCTCGAAAAAGTAAACACCACTTTACGGCGGCGTACTTCAGCAATACCAGCTTTTATAATTCAAAACGTATAGTTTGAGACGATGGGAATAATACTGCACAACAAAAGCTTGTATTATTCACACATTGTTGGCTTTCTCTCGTCTTATCCCCACTTTTTCAGAAAATCTTCAAAATAAAGTAAATTATTCACGGAAAGTCGAAATGATCCTTCTTTTCATCGATTGCTTTCTTCAATAGGGGCTCATTCTGTTGTTCATAAGTTCCCACATAGCGATACTAATTCGGTTCGAGATTAAAATAGGGTGGAAGTACTGTATGCTTATCGGAAATTTATTATCACGTTCATTCAAATAATGTCGATAAATTGACGGATTCCTAGCTCTTTTCTGTCAATCTTTCAAAGGTCAGTGGGAAAAAAAGATTTTCCCTTTGAAAAATTATACAGTAGTAATACAGGATTTCGTATACTCATACTGTAATCTTATATGGTGCGAGGAATCGATTTCATACACTACTACAGTACTTCTGGGGGGAAATTCGAGCAGAGTTAGGTTCATCGTTTTCATAATCCTCAACTTGATTCTTCGTTACAGCTTGATCAGTATTTTTTAAAAATAATGAATTCCACTGTCAAATAAATTCTACTTATGCTGCTTGCTAGTCGGAATGACGGCAGAATGACATAAGTTAAGTGATGAGCGACGGAAATTCATCCTTACGCCACAATGGGATCCTTCAAGTACAATACAAAAAAAATTCGACTCAACTTCCATATTTTCCCCCCTACCTCCATTCATCGCTCAATTGAAAAATAAGATTTCCTAAATATATCTTCCGCTGTTCTAATTTATTTCTTGGAGAGCGGAGTGAGAAAAATCAAACGTTCGTCCAAAATTATTTTAAACTGATACGAATTGTCAATTGCGTGATCATTTCAAAACCCAATCAATACATCGCTAAGAAGGAAAATGAAAGGCTAGGATAAAATTTCTCACCACTGCTGTTCCGACGATTCCTCGAACCGCCTTCTGCGGATCCAGATCTTCCAGGCCATTCGATCTCCACCGTTCCGAAGCGTTGAAAAACTGCGATCAGCGTCGCTTCATTGATGTCCCAGGGGACGCCGCCGAGGAAGACTTTCGGGGAGTACTCCACCTTCTCGTGCGACGACTTGGGTAACTGCCCATTCCACGTCAAGGCGGGTGACGTGGCACTTACTGCAACTGCGGGAATAAACGAGTCACTCAATAAAGAAAAATCTTCGAGATATGGAAGATTGCTCGCAATTTTCGAATAAAAATACAAAAAATGTTCCTGCGTAAGACGTACACGAAGCGTGCATCACGTTACTTCTACAGTTCTACAGAAGAACGAGAATACGAATTTCTCGCAAATTATACACGGAACCAGCGATGAATATTCACTAACAATCCTAACCACTCGGCACAATCCTTAAAATATCATAAAAGACCTTTAATTGTATCATCAGTCCTTCGGTCCACTGTACTGGTAACATCGTGAAAATTCGACTTCCGTGTACAGATGTGCCCCAAGAACGATCCCGTTATCGTACAGGGAGTTCGGTATTTTTTTTTTGGACGCAGTTTTTCGATACAGTATAAATTTTCGACTTCGCGGAGAAATTCAAAAAGTGGTACTGATGAAATATCAAAATCAAATTAATAATATCAATTATAACAACAAGGGTGCTCTTTACTAAAATGGCATTGATAACGGATCTTCCACATGATCGTAAATTTCGCGAATAGAAAATAGCAAAATCGGACGATCGAGTGGAAGATTTCAACAGCAAGAGCGACGTAACTCTTATAATATTATCCGAATTTAGAGACTGCTGAAAGAGAACCTATTCTTGTCAGAAATGTTCAGGCGCTTGAATTTTCGATATCACCCTAACATATAGTATCTTCTATATGTGCTTTCAGAGGCGTTAAAAAAAGAGGTTAATTAAGATTGATACGTACGAGTTGACGTTCTGTACAGATCACGAAAGTCTGCGTGGGCCTCCGTACCACGCGCAGCGCGAAAGCTGTTCCACTTGTTCTCGGATTGACGTTGAGCCCCACCAGAACCGAACGAAAAAGACGAAGAACGCATCAGTCCTCCGAAGCGGTTCTCAATGTCGTCGCCAGAGCTGCTGTTTCGTCGCTCATCCGTCAATGAAACCTTACGTCTCAGCGCATCTTGGCCTGTCGTCAAGTCCTGCGAAATATAATGCGGAAGGCTCAACCAATCCTCAAACATAAGAGGAAGTACGAACTTACCCTGAAATGATGAACCACACTAGTTCCATATCCGCTATCCCCGCGGCTGTTCCATTCAAACGTGTCATCAGTGAGCGGAGCAGCGCCGAGCCAGGTATTGTTGAAGGAGCCGGAATGCGTCACAGCAACATTGGAAGATTGATCAGCAGGCGGCGGATAATGCTGCCTATAGAGGAAGGATTCAAACAAACGGTACTGTATAATAAAAGCGTAAATCTCGATGTTTACCGTTATTACGCCATTCAAAAAGATTCCTCGTTCACAATAATGAGCCGATTAAATATAGCGGCATCAACTCATCAAATTAGGGGACAATACGCGCGAAGTGCTAGGTTACACTCACTTGGTTCTATTGTTGCAAATGGACTGAAATTGCTCAAAAGCGGATAATTCTCCGTCCGTCCGCCGACGAGAGGATCCCCCTAAAGGTCGAGGGACAAACGAAAATCCGTAGTCCTGTGGCAACCCATTTCTCGGAGGATTCCTATCAGAAGCCGAACGCTCGACGGGTGCCCCGGAAATTCCACGAATGTTTGAATTAGCTTGGACGAAACCGATTCCTGAAAATGTCGAACCATAACTTCACCGAATGGGTTCAATAGGTCACTTGCAGCTCAATGGCAATTACCCGAGAATGAGTAATCCGGCAAAGAAACACCAGACGGAGGGCGACTTTCGGGACCAAGATGTAAATTGCGGAAATCCAGAGCGATATCGCTTCCGCTCTCAGAATTCTAAAGGGGAGACATCGGAAGTTCATCCTCAGTGAACTTAGAATAAATTATTTTTTTTTACCTTGCCAGGCAATGCCATATCAAAATGCCTACTTCCGGATGAGGACTACCACGAATAAAAAAGCTGTCACAAAAAAATCTCGGTCCAATGAACCCGTTATTTGCGCCAGCAATTCGATTAATGTCACTTGAGGGCGCTAGTCCAATCAAACAAAGAGAACAATTAAAATTTCGATGTGATCGACACGGTTTCTATCAGAAGACTGACCGAATTCCCGTTCGTTCTGATGAAATATCTCGCAGCGCAGGAAACTAGTACAGTATAGTATTCAGTCACAGGTTTTTGCCACGTTAGAATGAACACTGCAGAAAAAAAAAACAATGTCGAGAAATTATCTTCGATTCCGAGTTTCCAACGCGAATGACAGGTTTCGCAAATGGGCGATGTACCACGATAACCCGTTTTAGACGCAGCACACGCGATCTTATCGAGCATAATCCAGACAAAAACGTTAAATTCGTTTTTTTTTTTGTACGTTATGCGAGCCACTGGAAAACTGGTCCACGTCTATTAATTTAGCGAGTCCAACTAAAATAACGCTTGCTTGCGTTTTCCAGATTTTTTCTTATTCCATTAAATTTGCGCATGATTCACATGTTAAACGCCGATTACTGAAAGTGGCTATACTACTGGACAAGCGCCTTTCAGATCACGCTTCCGAATAAACTGTATATTAATCAGTAGAAAGTAATCGCAAACCAAAAGCTTGGCGTATGTATCGTGGTTTTCCACTCATTTTACAGTACAGTATATCAATTCTGGCATTGAAATTTGACGCATTCAGCGTTCTGCTTCAGAATGAGATCATATGGCATCCACCAGCAGTTGTCTTTTAGCGACACCTGCTTCGAAAATACTAAAGAACCTGAGCCGCGGAGCAGCCACCAAAATGCAGCACTGTTCTGATATACAGTCCTGTACTGTATAGAAATAAAATTACGACCATAAAATCCCCGAGATGTAAACCGAAAAATAAATTACCATATTTCTACTGTCCAAGTCATGTTACATGTATACATACAGTATGCACATATGCGGTGAAGGAGGGATATTTGCACTGTTGTAGTAGCGTCCTCTATCTAAGAAAAACTTGGTCGCTATATGTTGATGGCGTCGTATAACGTGTCGTCGTACTAGGTGTTTTTATAAAGTTCGACTAAGTTCACTGATTGAATATGATGCGGCTTCTGCTTCATACAACATTCTGCTTCATCTTTGAATGGCACCAGCAGATAGACAAGGGATGGAGAGAAAATAATCGTCGTTGAAAATTGAAATACAGTACAGTGATCGAAAGGAAAACTCTCAACAGGTTGGGCTGATTGTGCTCTCTACATTTAGTTAGCTTTCTTCCGCAGCTTCAATCTATTATGCCTCAGAAGGTGTCACTCCTATGCATCCGAATCTGAAAAGGAGGAGGTGTACCACCACCCGACTGTATACAGACGTGAGCTAGCTATAGATCGATGGTGTATTGGCGTGGATCTCCCATATTCCCATTCTCATCAAGTACTTCACATAAACTTTCTATGCATACATAAACATTTCAAGAAAAATTGAGAGTGGGGTTCG